CTTCCTGGGATGGTAATTCCCAGCACCTTGAGACCAAGCTTCAAAAGACTCCAAGAAGAGTCCCAGGTGTTGCCATTGACCTCTATGGCTTGTCCCAGAAAGGGTGAGTGTGTGAGGGGAGGTTAGCTTCCTAGCCCATGCCTGCACATGCAGATAGATATGCAGGCAGACACTTTTGACTGGTAGATTAGTCTTGCTTTTTCATAGACGAAAAGCAGAATTCCTAGGGCTGAAGAGATGTCTCAGCAATTAGGAGAAGTGTTCTTGCAGAAGATCTGGGTTCAGTTCCCACGTGACAAATCCCAACTATCCATAGCCCCAGTTCTAGGGGATCTGATGCCCTCTTTTGACCTCGGCAGGCACCAGGCATGCATGTGATGTACAGAAGATATACATGCTAGGAAAACACTTAGAGGAGTCTAAAAGGTAAAAATTTTAAAAACGCAGAATTTATTTCTCACGTGCATTCTGCTCCCACAGCCCATGCTTGCAGACATGCACACAGAGACACATACCCATTTTGGTTTTGCAGATAAGTTGCAGAGTTGGCTCTGGCTCGCTGCTGCTCCTCTGCTGCAGTGCAATGGGACACGCAGGTTGTCATGGGGAACTGGAGTCTCTTACTGCCTTACGTCTTGAACTCTTGAACTTGGTTCAACTCTGGCTTTCTCCTGGAATATCATGTCTGCCAAGAAGATAAGCCTAGATTAGCTTGCCGGAGGAGAGGCTACTCAGCGGTGGACAGCCCACAGACGGGTTCTGGCCAAGGTCCTGAGACGGAACCAGGTGAGACGAGGGGAAGCCATGAGCCGCTCTAACAGCCACCTACAGATGTCTTGTGGAGTCCTCTGTGCCTGGCTTAGAGTAGAGCTTCCCATTTGGTTTGTAGACTTGACTCCAACAGTAAGTCAATTAGATAAGCCACTGGATTTGGGCCTGCTGATTACATATCATTGTGGCAATTGGTAATTGATGAATGACTTATACTGGACTAGGCCACTGTTTACAGGTCAGCAAATGTAAGCAAGCCCCCGATTAAATGCTCTTTTTTTTTTTTTTTTGTAAGTTGTCTTGGTCATGGTGTTTTGTCACAACAATAAAAAGGTAACTAAGACATGGCCACATATTCATGTGACACACTGAGCTATCCCAGACTCTTCTAGGATGGTGAGCTGGGAAGGGACTGGGGAACAAGAGGGCCACCTGATTTTACTGTGGCCTAGAAAGAGGCGTGGAGGCAGTGTGCTGTGGCCCATTCTACCTGAGGGGACGGGGTGCTTCCTGCTCAGGGGGCTGGGGCAGCTCACTAAGGGAGAGTGGGGTATCACTGGAGGCTGGGTCAGATAGAGGAGGAAGACAGCCTCACGTCTGAAAGCTGGGAGGAAGTGGGAGGAAAAAGTGGGATGGAGCAGGACCCTACACCCAAGACGGTTTGTGGAAGAGGCTATGGCAAGTGACGCCCTCAACACACTCTCAGGATAATTTAGATAAGAGATGGCAATCCACAAAGGGGAGGCCAGGGGACAAGGACTGCTCATACCACCAGCTGAGGGCAGACCCCTCTGGCCACTCACATCCAGGAGCAGGGCAGGAGGCAGTTGGCATGTTCTGATATGAAATCAGGGAAGGGTGTTTTGAGGCTATGTGAGGTGGCGGGACTGAACAGTGAATGGCAGCACCGATCCCGACTGGCCACATCCATGTTCTCTCTCTGCAGGGGTCTGTCACCGTCACTGTAATGCACAGGCTTCTGGGAGGAAGCACATGGCCCTTCACCCACAAACTTAAGGGAACATCTGAGAATGGGACTTTCTCTTCCCTTCCACACAGTGTGATGGTCCCAGTCAGGGAAACTGTCACAGGCAGAGATACCATCTCATCCTGTGTCCATAGCCACGCTGGGCTGTGTGCCTCAGGAAAGACCTGTATGGTTATTACCTGAATTAAATGAGTGAGTTCATATAGTATACATGGAGAGTACCAGCAGTGGTGTTTCTAATAGGTATTAAGTAGTTTGCTAAATATTTATGTCTTCCTGCTTAGAAGGTTGAAGATCAAATGTACTTTCTGCTCTCCCTACACCTGCTTCTGAAGGTGGAGCAGATAGGGAACTATTGAACTAAATCCTTATTTGTAGATAGTATAATCCTAACTGGATTATTGAGCTGCACAAGAAAGACTTCCCACAGATGCCCTTTCTTCTGGCATAGTGACTGTGACGTCTCAGGTAGTGGCTGCTTTCTGTGCTTGGGTGTTTACATAACAAATAAGTGGGGTCACTTCCTCCCCTTCTTCCCATGCCAACCTGCAGGAACTGTGGCATCAGCACATCTGGGTTGTTTGAGCCACTGAGATTGGGGGTTGTTACAGCAGCATCACCTGGCTTATCCTACCTAACATGGCACCATGTGAATATCAGACATCACCAGTATCATTCTGAATGTTTTCACTATCCTTTCTCATGTCTATCTTACTTAGAGACTTGTTTGTTAATGTTTCTCGGGGATTAAACCCAGGGCCCTGCACATGCTAAGCACACTCCATTGAACCTCACCCAGCCTGCACCCAAAGCTCATCTCGAATGTATGGATGATATCTCTAATGGCCTTCTGATGATCTGTTCAGGCTCTACCTCCTTATGTGGTTGTGAATATATGTGTGCAGGTGCACAGAGGAAGGTGTTGGATGTCTCTTGTATCTCTCTATACTTTAGTCCCTTGAGACAGTTCCTCACCAACTCTGCAGTTGGTTGGCTTTTGGCGAGATTGATGGCCAGCAGGCCCAGAGAGCTTCCTATCTCTGCCCCACCCCTCATCAGAGCTGTGCACAGGTTTGCATGAGCAAGACCCATCTGATGGAGTCTTCCTAAGGATCTGGGGATCCAAACTCGGTCCTAATGCTTGCCTGGCACTCATATCTGCTTTCTCCAGCATGAGCTCTGGGTCTTCGGTTACTGCAACCCCAAGGTCCCACCTCTGGGACAGCAGAGTTGAACCTGGCTCAGTCAATGACTTTAATGCCATTGGAGAAATCCAAGTTATGAGTGTCCTTAAGTGGTTTGCATTTGATTTCAGCATTTGTAATTGCACAAACAATATTGTAACAACAACCATAAAAATAGAGGCAGAAAGAAAAAAAAAGCCCTATCTCATTACGCTCCCTCTAAAATTAAGGCCATGTCCATGCTTTCGGCATCTGTCTTCATGAGTGGGGGCTTTGCAAGCAGCTTTCAGCCAACGTGTTATATTGTTGCTTTCTCCACTTAAAATGCTCTCAGGAGGACCCATTTCTTTGGAATATATGAGACCTTTGCTGTAGAGGCTGTGTATATTCCAGTTCACGGCCTCATGGCTCCGAGTATTTGGACATTTGAACACACTTGGCCATTTTGGTCAAAACAGTCATAGACATCTTTCTTTGTTCATGGGGGTGTCCCCTCTTATCCTTGTCACTTGTGGGAGGGAAGGGTCTTAGACTTTCAGATGCCCCAGTCAGAATACAGCATTCTGACCTATTTGTCACCCCCAGCCCCCACAAACAACGAGGAGAACAGCAATGTGGTGGTGGTTTGAATGAGATGCCCCCATAAGACTCAGCCATTTGGATACTTGGTCCCCATTTGGCGGCTGTTTGGGGTAGATGAGGAGGTGTGGCCTTGCTGGAGGAAGTATGACACCAGGGGGTGGTGGTGGTGGCAGGCTTTGAGATTTAAAAAGACTTGTGCCATTTTGAGCTGGCTTTCTGTGCTTCCTAGTTGTGGTTCCAGATGTGAGCTCTCAGGTGCTACTCCAGCTGCTTAGACCTGCTATCTCCATTTTGCTGTCATGGACTCTAACCCTCTGGAACCATGAGCCCCCCTAATCCCTTCCTTCTGTAAATGCCTGGGTCATGGTGTTTCGTCACAGCAATAGAGAAGTAACTAATACAACCAGGTGAACGAGAGCTTCAGTCTGTCTCAGGGTTTCTATTGTCATAACCACCATGACCACAAGCAACTTGGGAGGAAAGGGTTCGTTTTGTTCATACTTCTGCATCACAGCCCATCACCGAAGGAAGTCAGGACAGGAACCCAAACAGGGCAGGAACCTGGAGGCAGGAGCTGATGCAGAGGCCACAGAGGGGAGCTGCTTACTGGCTTGATCCTAATATCTTGCCCAGCCTACTTTCTTATAGAGCCCAGGACCACTAGCCCAGGGATGGCACCACCCACTATGGGCTAGTCCCTTTCACATCAATCAAGAAAATGTCCTGCTGCCTTGCTCACAGAAAATGGGGGCATTTTCTCTATTAAGATTCCTTATTCCTGGATATGTCTAGATTTGTGTCAAGGTGACAAAACACAGCCATCACAGTCCCTAAATAACATGACGGCAGTAGGTCCTTTCTGGCCGGAAGCTGTCTTTGTCACTTGTGCCCCCTTTGAATATGGGCTCTGTGTCCTGCCTTGGGGCCATGGCAGAAGCAGCCTTGTTATTTTCTTGCTCTTCTCTGGTGTGATGAGGACCTGATGCCTACTTCCTCCCATTTCCCTTCACCTGCTACCTTCCTCCTTACCACACCAGCATTGAGACATCTGGCTGTGGAGATACAGGCTCTGCAACTTTTCAAGACAGTGTTCCTATCTGGATAAGTGGACACTGAACCCCCGGGGACAGGTGCATTGGTACGCTGGGGTCCATGCTGCTCCTTCCCCAGCTGGGTGAGGCAGGGGGCTTTTGTGCATCTTGGTCCATGACCACATCAGTGGTCTTTGCCATTTGCTCTAGCAGAAGGTGGTGTACAAACTCCCCTGTAAGTTCAGAGCAGAGTGCCCCTCAGGGAGGTGGGGTGTCTGTGTCCATTACACAAGAGAGCACTCTGGGTTTAGGGCCTGTGCTCTCCTGCTGTATGACCAGCACCCAGGGCAAGGCCTGGCCTACAGTGTATGCTTGATGGCTGCTAAATGAATCCCAGATGGATAGAACAGGGTGTCTAGAAAGACTGGGGCCCTACATGGGGCATTGTCAGGTGGAGCCTGTGGAAGGGAGAGGGGAGATGAGGAGAGAAAGTGATGCTCAGAGGGCAGGGCTCTGTTCAGCTCTCTGTGGGTGTGTTTCTCCATTTTAGTTCCACTTTGAGTTATATGGGCATTCATTCACTCATTCATTCATTCAATGGATTTAATTAGGTGGCTTATATGAACCTGGCTTTGTGCTAGGCACAAATTCCAGCCCACCCAGAGCTACAGTTTCAGTGCAGAGGAGACAATACCCAAACTGTCTTCTAGTGTGGAAGGGAGGTGGGCACCAGTGTGCCTGTGTCGAGCGGAGGTGGGTACCAGTGTGCCTGTGTCGAGTGGAGGTGGGCACCAGTGTGCCTGTGTCGAGCACGCCAGTCTTGTTTTTGCACTGCCATGAGGATCCCTCTCCCACATCCGAACCCCCAGACCCACCGTCTTGTGAAGTGCTGCAGAGAGGTCAGGGTGCTCTGAAGTCGACTTAACCACAGCCCCGCACAGCCTGCTTCCAGCGGTGCTCTGCAGTCAGGACGCAGCAGCACACATGCTCAGCATCCTTAGCCTTGGCAGGGTTTGTTTAGCAACTGCACCACTCTGTTTGCCTTCTGATGGGCATCTCCTGATCAAATTCAGTAACTTATCACCATGAACAAGCAGACGACAAGCACCCGTGGCATCTCTTCGCTAGATGATATGTTTCTGCAAGATGGTGTCAATTCGAATCACATGAATCTGAAATACTTCCCAGGTGACATCAGTTAGAGCAAGAAAGCCCATTTCCCACATCTTCTTGTCGGACACTACAATTTTCACCAGTCTGAGGGATAAAAATGATATTGTTATTCCAATGGGCATGGTCTACATTTGATTATTGTTTTACATGTCTATTGACGTTTTCAATTGGTTCTTCTGCAGACGTGTTTAGTCATGTTCTCAGTTCAGCTTAATAGTAACACTTCCTTACCCATTGTGTGGACTTTCTTGGGGAGATGTGAGCAAAAGTGCATGCACCCCGGATAGAGCTCTGGCAAGAGACCAAAGAAACAGGTCCACCAAGTCCAGGTGCACAGGTGAGGGGTGATTATAAGAGCATGGATGACTCCGAAGCAGATTCTGCTTGGAAAGCCGAGCCCAGTGTGAGCGAGGACTTTTGGGAGCCCAGACCCTGTTCCCTGCCCCGACTGCCTGCATTCCACTGGACAGGGCCCCCTCTCTCCCAGCAACTGGGCACTGTTTATACAGCGTTGGCGAAAGGCTTTGTAACTTTCTAAGCTTCCCCATCTTGTGAGATTTATGCCTGAGCCCTGTAAACTTGGTAGCTTTCTGAGACTCAGCCTCCCTTCTCAGCTCAGAAGGGGATGTTTCACCCAAAGGAGGTGGCTAGCCACACAGCCCTGAGTCTAGTAATGCTTGTCATGTTGCTTCCTCAGGCCTTCCTTTTGTTTGCCAGTGTCTGTTGCTTAGAACATGTGTTTATCATGTTTCTGATTCGCCAGTTCACTCTGTGAAGTGGGTTTTTATTTATAAATAAAAAACCAGGTGCAAAGAGTGTAGATATCATTCCTTAGCTGGCTCAGCAGGTGCACGGCCGAGCTGGCTCAGCGCTCACTCCTGTGCAGGACAGCCCATGCTTACAACCACTGGGCATTTCGTGACGGGGAGGGGGGCGTCTGCTGGGCCTCAGAAACCCACTTGCATGGCACGCAAGCCCGTTGATAGGGAGAAGAACACAGGACTGCTCAGCATGGGCTTGTTGGCAAGGGCTGTCCTTACAGGGACACAAATGCTTCCGGGGACAAGGGGCTCTGCTGACTCCAAGGCACTTGCCCCAGACACTGGGTAGAGGGTAGGCAGTCCTCTCTTCCTGCCGTCCATCTTCAGCCTTGGGACCTGGGAGAAGAGGAACGCAGCTGTGTTTGTTCTGTTCCTGGCTTCTTTAACTTAGACACGTCAAACTTCATTCTTCTTAAAGGCTGACTACTATTCAAGTGCGTTGCTGGGCTGCATTTTAAAAGTCCATTCAGGGATCACGGACGCTAGAGTGGCTTCCACCTTGTGGCTACTGTGCTTACTGCAACTGTGCGCGCGCGCGTGCGATCCCCATTTTCAGTTCTTTGGGGTTTGGACCCAGGCGAAGAATTGCTGGATCATTATGGTAATGTGATGTTTAATATTTCTGGGACCTACATGATGTTTCTGCAGTAGCTAATAAAGCATTTCCTGGCAACACACAAGGGGTCTGACTTCACACTTGCTTATTTTCTGATAACAGCCATTGTAGTGAGTGCGGCATGGTATGCCATTGTGACAGCATAGGTTTTAAAGTTTTTGTGTATATTACAGGACTCAGCGGGATGTGAGAAGATGTGGTAAAGTGTGAGACTGGGTCACCTGGATCATCCCAGCTGCTCTCAAAGTCCAGACCCCGAGGAACTCCTTCTGCCATGCTACGGTACATGGGAACCACAGGACTAAAGACTGAGGTGAGGAGAATGGGGTAGGTGTTGTCCTGCATGGGCCCAGACTCATCCCCTGCTCAAGCATGTGTCTGCTGGGTGCTGCTGGCTGTGGCTGAGCTTACCTGGGCACAGTTACTGAAACACCTAGGTGATTTGTTCCAGCGTGGCATCTGGACTCCACAGGAGGGAAGCAGGGTGGGGTGAGCAAAGGCTGCACTCTCTTGTGCCCCGTGAAGTCACGGGACATCCTTCCCTCAGTGAGCTCCAAGGGTGACTGTGAGGAGTAGACCCCAGCTCCCCCGGCTCCCTCAGCTCCTCCAGCTGATGAGGGGAGGTGCTGGGTACTCCTGGAGCCCAGGGAACTGAAAGTATCTTGGAATATCGGCTCTGCCACCCCTGCCAGAAGGTGGCAGTGACTATGAGGCCACTGGTGCAACTCCTTTCTAAACGTTTCTCCTCAGGGTTCTCATCTGCAATCTCTGGAAGCACCCTCTGTGTGCACGGCACTGTTTATATTCACCTGTGCTGATGTGGCGTGGAGACAGCAGCGTAGCTCACAGCTGGGGAGAAGCGGAGCACACGCAGGGGAGGGGGGCAGATCTCTGGAGAAAGAAGAGTGGGAGGTCAAGGGAGGTAAGCCTGCTGGGGGTTTGATGGAGCAGGGATAAACCCTCATGCTGTCAGCCCTACACCCTTCATCTAGGCTTTGGAGGATGGCCTGGGTCTGTGGCCAAGATAGCGGGTGGGGTGCTCTATGTGTATGTAGGCCTGGCCGAACTGAAGGGCTGGTGGGTGGGGGAGACGCTCCATAAGAAGGCAGGGGAGAGTGGTGGGTGTGAGAAGACACAGTGGAGGCCACGAGGCTAACCTGGAACAGATTAGGTTCTGCTGGCGCACTGGGGAGCCGTAGCAGGTGTAAGAATGGGGTTGGCCCAAAGGGCTTTTCTGTCCTGGAGGGGTGGTTACAGGGTAGGAGACAGCAGCTGAGGCTGACCCCTGGAAGGTCTAAAGCTATAATTGTAAGCTAGGCTTACATCTCTGTCCATGCCCCTCTGCCTCACAGGGTCCAGAAAACAGTGTGCTTGAGATGTGGCTCCCATTACCTATGGGTGAGTTCTCCACACCCTGTGCTCTCCCTCCATGGCCCTCACACTGGCTGAGTCTTGCCTTCTGGCTGCAGTCCACATACCAGGAGCTGTCAAATCCTTTGGAACTGGCACTCAGAGGCCCAGCCATGGCTGACCTTGTCTTCTCCTCCTAAATTCTCTCCCAGCTTAAGAACCTGGGCTCAGGAAGTAGCTTTCAGTTGCTTGGTCCTTGTGGGCTCCCTCTCTTTCTTGGGGGACTGTTTTTCTACAATATGCATCAGTTATTTGATCATCTGAAGGCTTGCTCCTATGTCCAGGGCAGACCATGTGATCCCAGGGGGTTAATCAAGAAGCCTCCAGCTGCCTAGAAACATTGATTGGTCAGAAATACACACGTGATTAAAAGGCCTAGAGTTCCCTTGTGGGTCTTGCTAGGGGGGTTAGAGGTCAGAGAGGCTGTAAGACAGGCGCTTTGCATATGAACTGCCCCCCAAAGGCTCCCAGGTTTGGACACCTGCCCCCCCCCCATGGTGGTGCTGTTTGGGAAAGTTGTGGAACCAATAGGAGGCAAAGCTTCTGTGGAGGCAGTGAAGGCTCAGGGTGAGAGCCTTGAGGCTTTGGAGTGTGGTCCTGCTTTATCTCTGCTTTTGTTTGATGACTGGGCATACTGTGACCAACCAGCTCACGTGACCCTCCTACCTTCTCTACCACGACAGGCCTGTGGGCCAAAATCCATCCTTCCTTACTCTAGACATTTCTTGTCATGCATTTGGTCACATCAACAGGAAAAGCAGCTAGCACAAAGACCGCAGAGGCCATCCTTCCGGTGCTTGGCACAAGCCGCTGCCTGGGATGGATGGATTCGAACCAGAGAACAGAACATCTGTATCCACCCACGCCTGAAGGTGGTGCAGGGCTCCCACTCAACTGAGGCAAGCAACGTGCTGTGGGCTGGGCAGCCCAGAGTCCTGATGGCCCTGGGCCACATTTGGAACCTCTCCACCCACTGCCCATGGTTTCTGGCCCCTCCTTTCTCTAATCCCGCCCCTTCCCTAGTCCTCATCCTCCACTTTGGTGCAAGCTGTTCATTTGCTTCCTTCTGGTGGCCACAGAGTGCGAGAGGGACTGAGGGAAAGGAGTGGGTGTCGTGCAAGGCCAGGGAGCCTGAGGAGCAAAGACCCAGTGAAGCACCCCAAGACTCAGGCCCAGACCCCACTGGCCTGTTCATTGTACAGGAGGAAAAACACACGCGGAGAAGCCAAGTGATTTGTTCAAGCTGCACCGCTGGGAAGTGGCTGAGCTGAATTTGAATCTGAGTCCTTTGTAAGATCTATGATTGGTAAACCTACTCACAAAGCCTCGCCTGTCAGGGGAGAAGGGCTGTTTGGGATAAAGGGTTGGCTCAAGGGAGGGGAGCCGAGGCCCTTGTTCCACACTAGAGTGGTGATTAGGGGGTGCTTGCACAGGTGTGAGTGTGCATACACACAGTAAGCTTGCCCCCCACACCCAGCCTGTCTTAGTTCTCTTCCTGACCCATTTTTGCTGAGGCCAGATAAGGGGTGACTAAAACCATTCTGGGTGACAGAGTTGGGTGCATTAGATACTTGGTCAGGCGCATAAACGGAGGCTCTTTGATAAAAACACTTTTTAAAAAGAAGAGCTCTATGTGGCTCCCACTGCAACCCAGGGTTGCTCCCCAGAGGCCTGGGGTTCACTTTAGCCCAACATCTCCTAACCATCCCCCACTCTCAGTAATGTGTGTCTGCTGCCAGGACCTCCGAGTTCATCACTTTGGGGTAGTGGCTGTTAGCTTTAAGCTGTGATCAAGGAGACGTAGCTCTGGCTCCCACCCTTCCCACACATTTCTACTGTGGCTTTTGGGGCTTCTGAGGGTTGATATTCTCACTCTGAGGTTGCTAGTAGCATCACCTGCAGCCCTGAGTCCTTCTGGGTAAAATACTCTTTTCTAGGACCGTTCCCTGCCCACAGTTCCACAAGTCTCCCTAGGGACCAGCCAGTTAGCATCATCACCAGACCCAGGAAGCTCTCATCCCACCACTGTCCCTTTTCTGATGTTCTGTACCCACTCAAGGCTTTGCCATGGCCTGCAATACCCATCCATAACTTGCTCCCTTCCCTCTCCTCTCGCCCCCCTCCCCCCAGTATTTCACTGTATAGCTCAGGCTGGTCTCCAACTCATGAAGATCCTTCTGCTTCAGCCTCCTGGAATTACAGTTCTGTGTGACTAGACTAGCCTAGTTTGTGGCTTTCCTGTCTGTCATGTGGCTTCTGGAGTCCCAGAGGCCAGCTGTTTCTGGGGTCCCCTCTCTCTTCTCCCATCACCATTCGTAAGTAGAAACGGTTTGCAGCTGCTGGTCTACCTTTATGCTATCATCTGTCTTGACTGTGTTACTGTAAAAAGAGAAATGTAATCAGGGCCTACCTGTCGACCCACGGCTTAAGAAGTAGAGGCCGGAGGATCGGAACCATCTTTGGCTACATTAGTCAGTTGGAGAACAGCCTGGGTTATATGCAACCCTGTCTCAAAACAAAACAGCAAAACAGAGGGGGAAGGTCAGCATATGCAGACCCAAAACACACCCACGCAAGTGTCACAGCCACCATCCAGGCCGCCTGGCAGCCTGCAGACGCTCAGCTCCCTCCCCTGTACCTTGAAAGTCTGAACAATGAGGCCCTTTGTGGGCTGGTCTCTTCTGCAGGGCCCTCTGAGTCACTGCATATTTTTGTGTGTGCAGTCACAAATGGTGTGACTCATTCTCCCACTTGGGGCATTTGGGGACTTGTTCTGTTTTACTTACAATTGAAAAAAAAATCAGATATTACAGAGGTGACAAAAAAAAATACAGCAAAGTCATATAACCTACCTCTGCATGTCCCAGGCTGGTGGGAAGAGTGCAGGCCTGAGGTCATTGCCAAGGGCTCCTGGGTGTGGGGATTGGGCTTTCAGGTTGGGCCAGGCTTGACCCATTTTTGCTAAGGCCACATAAGGAGGTTAAACTTCTAAGAAATTCATGTGAAAGGCAGAGGCTTTTTTACCCAACCCAGAGGGTCAGCCAGGGCCTGGAAAAGTCCTCCCTGGTTGAGCTGAGCTGCTCTCCAGCCAGATTACCATGTTGGTGGCCAGACAGAGGTGTGTGTGTGCGTGTGTGTGTGTGTGTGTGTGTGTGTGTGTGTGTGTGTGTGTGTGTGTGTGTGTGTGTGTGTGTGTAGTTCCTTTTACTCACGTGGACTACAGCCTCCAGCCTGCTGTCCCTCCAGAGCTGAGTCTCCAGGAGTTCGGGGCTAACAAGGCTCATAATAATACAGGAACTGAGTCACAGCTGGAAGACTAGACAGAGGTTGCTTACATGTTATGAGGCCAATCCCTAGACAGATGTGGGCACCCCCCTCTCCCACCTGCACATCCCCATGGCTCTGCGGCCTCAGTGTCACACACCTTGGGCAGGTCACTTCCACACTGCTGGCCCAGGGCTCTGCCGCTGTGGCCTTGATCTAGCCGATTGGCAGAGACCCATTCATCCCAGATTCTGTGCCTTTTGTACCTGGGTCCTCTGGAGACTCTGGGTCTTGGAGGCTGGGATCTCAGCTCCAAGATTGCAGGGCAGCAGGGGTGCGGGCGTGGCCAGGTACTGGGGCTTCATGGAGTTGCATTCGGAGCACGTGTCTCCTCTCGGAGCTGCGGGGCCTGTCTCTTTCTATTAGTTTAACAAGCCCTGGTATTAATGAGATTGCTCTATAATTGAACCTTTTCACGGGTCCCTCGGTAATGAAATTATGCTAATTTGCATTCAGCACCACCAGGCATCCATCACGCGGGATCAGCCGGGAGCGGCCGGTGAGGCGGCGTGAATGCACCGCTAATTATCACCAAAATGAACAAACCCGGCAGGATTATGATTTCATCTTCTGCCCTTCTCACCACTGACTCCGCCCAGTCTACATTCGTCTTTTCATGCATAGGGTTGTTGGTGGGGTGGGCGAAGGAGGCTGCTGCCATTGGCTGAGTGGCTGCAGGGCCTGGCACCTCTGGCAGGCACCTGCAGACTGAGTGCTGTTGCTGGCCAAGTTGAGTGAGCAGCGTGGGAGCCCACTGCCTGCCTCTAAACTTGTAGCCTGCTGGTGTGTGTGTGTGTGTGTGT